ACCATCAGATCTAGCGTATACACTGATATAGCTGTAATCAAGAGCTGCATGAATTGAACCATTAACACTCACTGCAACATCAACTGGTTTGGCTCTGCAGTTAATAGAAGAGACAGCCTTACCCTCCATAGTCAGGATCAGTATACGAGTGTTGCTATAATCAGCAATGAATAGGTGTCCCTCATTATCGCATGCTATGCCACGTGGATAAGCAAATTGCTCTGGACCGCTGCCATTTTCTCCAAACTCTCCAATGAAGTCACCAGAGAGGGCATACATCTTTACCTTGTGACTATTGCAACTGACTATGTATAAAGTATCATTAGCCACTACCACTCCCCATGGGTTTGAAAGGTTACCTCCAGCATTATCATTGCCACCAATCTGTTTGTAGACCTCGCCATCTGCTTGCAGTACCATTACTGTGTGGTTATCATAATCTGATACATACAGCAAACCTGTACTATAATCAATGGCTATACCTCGTGAAGCTGGTTTCTGTACAGGCAGTGTTGCAATTGGTGCATCAGGATTTACTTCATTGTAATCTCGTGGTGGATGGGCCCACATACGGAATGGATTGGTAATAACCAGTGGGGCATTACGTATTTTTACTTTAAGTTGATACTCACCACTGTTGAGCACAGTGACTGATAGTGTGGCACATCCATCATTCTGTTTCTCTGATTGTGTAATGGATACTTTAGGTAGAGGTGCATCAGCGTCATCTTTATTGACCAGCTCATACTGAAACAAGACGTTCCCTTCCAATGGCTTGTTCTTCTCATCTCGTAGTATCACTTTAAAAACTCTCTCCTTGCCAACCAGTGCTTCTTGTACTCCTAATCCCTCAATGGTACAGCACTCAAGATGAGGCACTCCAGGAAAGTAACCAAGAGACTCTATTGAGCCAATTATGGAATCAACTTCTAATGATGTATTCATTATCTCATTCTCTTGAAGGTCAAGTAGAAATCGGCTAAAGTTATCCAGTACACGGGTAACTTGTGCTTTAACGACTTTCTTAACTGTCAAGAGCTCCTCTGGTGTGTGGTTGTTAATGGCATCATTCGTTGTCTCATCAAGGAACATTAAAACATTCTTTAATTTCTCAAACTCGTGTATTTGAGAACGCATCACATCCTCCTTGCCACTATCTATGCCCTTACACCTCTCATGCAATATCTCCTGTCTCACCCTCACTGCTTTCACTAGATCCTCACACACGCCATCAATCCTGGTCAAAGCTTCCTTTGAAGATGCTTTCATTTTTTTCTCCATCTTTTTACCTGCTGCTATTACTTCGTCCAGTTGACCGATGGCACTGGTTATGTCAGGCATTACCTTTTTGAGGTCTTCTTGCTCACTCTTGGCAACTTTCTCAATATATTCTCTCTTGTGTCCATCATGAGTAGTCATCAGACAGTCCCTACAGACTAACACCTGATCATCAAGACAGTAGAACCGCATCTCTTCATTCCTGTGGTCTCGGCATTTTTGTGGTGGATGCTTTATCTTCAGTGAATGTCCTTCCTTCTTCTTCAAAGGCTCCAACTCAATGACTTCATGTGTTCGTAGCTCCCTCCATCTCTGATGGTCAGTATTGCATGCATCACAAATGAACATGCAGCAATTCTCACAGAAGTATGAGGCTCCCTTGTTGGGACAGTTTTCACAAGGCACTTTGCCTTCCATTTTCTTATTGTAACTTGTGACCTCAGCAAAATGGCTCAGTCTCAGATTGACAGGTAACCCAGCACTTGCATCTTCATCATTAGAAGGTACGACAGTCCTCTGTCCACATGTTGGACAGTTGAAGTGCTTATTTCCTTCAACTGTTTTTGCTTCTTTATCAATGTGTTTGAGCAGGCACTTTTTACAGAACGAGTGAAGGCAAGAGAGCAGAAAAGGCAGTTGTAAAGGTTCGCTGTAGACCTTGTGACAGATAGTACACAAAGGATCAATGACTGTCCTAGCCCTGTTCCTTTGCCGCGGCTTTACTTCATTGGAAGCCATGACTTCAGTGACCAATCACCGTGATAAAAGGGCTAGCTTGAACACAAACTCTCCCTCGAACTCTCCTAAACCGCGTCTTTTTAGAAGATTTAATGGCGTGAGATTTATAGATACGTCCCATCTCAGGCTCTCAGCCTATGAATAGACTAGTTTATTGACTAGGTCTATGTGGTAGCTACATGATATCCCATGGGGCGAGCATACAAAAGTAGGAAACCTGCGAGAAAGCTGATCTACGAATTACATAGCATCTAGTCTATTACCGCCATTTGGCGGGTAAAATCTTCGGTTCCGCCCATTTAATTATTGAAGTTGCTATGGTAACAGAGCAAGAACTAACTGGACTATTACAGACTAAAAATCTAAAGCACTATCACTGTCAGAATTGTGTTATGTTATGTTATGACTGGCACTATATACAAAAAGTTAATTTTGATTCAAACTAGCTTAAATTTCTTACATGGGATAAGGGCATCAATATGCATTAAAAATGGATAGCAATTTTGAAATTTGTATAGTTTATGGTCTTAAATTAAAAAAAAAAACAGTTTTAACCATATGCAAGTTCGATCTAACTTTTTCCATGACATAAATCTATATCATGCATATAAATTGTCTTGTATATAAACTTGCTTTGTATATGTTTCATTATAATTTAGAAGGAAATGGATCATATGTCTTGTGGTGTTTATAGCATTAGCATTATTAGAAGCAATTAAACTAAGCTTTAAAACCAATTTAAAACTTAGTTCTAAAATAAAGAAAAGATGATTTATATAGCCTTTTTGTTAGTTTCTAATAATCTTGATAATGATTAGATAATGATTGATTTTAAGTATGACAATAAATTTGATGAAGACATAATGTGAATTGTATGTCATACATAAAATAAAGTAGTAATTTACGAGTCTCCTTGATGGTAAACTTCCTTTTGTTATTTGATAATGGCCAGCTATTACTGATATTAATGAACCACCTGTTGTTGTTGTACCTCCTGTTATGAAGCATTTACTACTGATATTGATATACATCAAATTGTTGACATTAATATATGAAATGTAGACTGCACAGCCTTTATACACACATGCATGCTATATTGATGTCATTATCTTTTGTTTTAATAAAGTAATTTGGTGGAGTCTTAAATTTCAAAGAAAATGGGTTGAGGTTACAAAAACTCCCTTTCTCCATATATTATGGAGAAAGGGAGTTAAAGGGAGTTTTGTAACCTCAACCCATTTTCTTAGATCAATAATTAGATCTACTTGTGTAAATTATCATAATCAAGCTATGTTTTATGGTATGTAGCCAGAGATGTACAGTATTCTGAGATCTGATCCATGCAGAAGGTGTATGTTTACCAAGGTTGTCAATGTTTGGTAACTGTAGCATAAAAGGTACAAATCTTGCTACATTTCTGTTTATTGTCAATGTCAAGTAAAAACATTTCAGTTCCATTAATAACACTAACATCATTGAAGCATAATTCTCATGACAAACAATTTTGCTAGCATCTCCCTTTATATAATATTCCCTTTCCATGTTTTGATTTAATTACTTTAAATGACTTGCTTTAACTCCCTCTCTTAGTTTAGGTTATATGCTTTTTGGTAACCTCAATACAGAGCTTATCAGTTAGTGCATAAATACATGTTTGACTAAGCTACTTCTCATTTATATACTCATAATAATTATGTCATTATCACATGTAGATCCTTTCTAACCAAATTTGAACTAAATCTATCACTTTACTGTTACAATTATCTTAATAATTTTCATACAACACTTTGACCCCTCAAACCCGTGCTCTTTTTATCTACATTCTCCTTGCTCTTGATGTTTTATCTCTCCTCCTACCTCTAATTTTCACCCAAACTAACAAATTTATCTTTAACTTTATTATTACTACTAATTTAGTTTTTACTTTTATGCTGGCTGCCTGGGCATGTCCCAGGTTGACCACCAGTGCTAAACTTCATTTACTGGTTTGCATTTTATCTTAATCTATTTCTATGTCAGTGCTGGAAAGTTATTAATAAATATATCATTCCAATTGATGTGAATGAGCATGTATAATTATTCTTTTTCTTTTTAGTTTCTTAATTCCTGTCATCAAAACATCATCTCCCCTTATAAGAACAGGGTTATTTCTATAGCATATATGTAAGAAGTTTTGTGTGTTTACAATCCAAAGTAACATCCTTATTATTAAGCCATTAATATTAATAATATGCCATCAATTTGTTTAAAATCCTCGTTGTCATATGAGACTATATCATTTGTATTTCATATGTGATTCATATTTATGTACATTAAATGATTAAAATTGGCCTTGCCCATGCTTTGCATAGGTAGTTGTTCTGTTCATGCATGATTGTTTTTGCTGTTTATATAAGGGCACTTGTTTATACTGTTTCATGCTATAGCAGAGAAATGTCCTTGCTGATAGGGGTAAATATATCATTTCATTATTACACAAATAATAACAATTATAATAATGATAATAATAATAATAATACCCAATCTACAGTTTTAATTGATGTGGATGATCAAGCAGAGCCTATAATTATTCTCTTTCTTTTTAGTTTTTAAAATTTTTGTCTTCAAAACATCATCTATCATAAGGAATAGGGTTATTTTTGTAGCATATACGTAAAAAGTTTTATGTTTTTACAATCAAAAGTAAAATTCTCTATAAGGGATTTAAGCCATAAATTATTGGCTTTGCCCACGCTTTGCATAGATATAGTCATGTTGTTCATGCATGATGGTTTTGCTGTTTATATAAGGGCACTTGTTTTACTTTTGCATGCTATAGCAGAGAAATGTCCTTGCTGACAGTGGTTGCCTTTTTGTTGAGTGTCAGTGAAGTTATT